TTTATTTGCTTTGGCATAACTATGTTCCCCAAATTTTGTATGTGAAAATGATTGTCAGGAATTCTACAATAACAATAACAATAATAATAATAATAACCTAAATCAGTTGCTTAAAACAACACAAGTTTGACCAGCCCCATGACCTAGCAGTTAAGGGAACTGGATCCCACTTGACTGGCTGTGCTTCAAGTATCAGCCTTCATAACTTGAAATTACACCAGGCATGTGTGCATGCATGCTCCAAATCCTAACAAGATGGAGAAATGAAGAAGAGATTGCAGCTGACCATGCCCCATTGAGACCTACTCGCACCCTCTTCTTCTCCCTCTTGAGAGCACATATGCACTCGGCGGGGGGGGTCTCTTTCTCATTCATAGTATAGGTCCCTGGTGGGTCAGCTAACCATCTTCATCTTAAGCAGCCATCCTCATGCCAGAAGGAAATGAGAATGACAAATCTTTCACTGACTCTTAAAGTTTCCACTTACCTCATTTTTGCTCCCATTTTTGCCAAAGTCAGACTAGACTCATGCTCCAGAAACCTCAATAATAATAAAATGTGTGTGTGTGTGTGTGTGTGTGTGTGTGTGTGGTGTATGTGTATAGAGGTTTTTGCCTTAGGGCATGTGTGCTCACCAGAGAGAAACAGTAAGACAGACAGTGAGAAATCAGCCCCCTAGGGGGGATGGCCATGCTGTAATCCCCTGTCCTCCATTGTCCTCTTGGGATCTTGGGCACACATGCACATACACCCAGCATGAGTTTCAAGTCACCATGTCCGGGACTCAAACCATGGTCTGTCATGTGGGAATCCATCAATGTAACCGCTATGACATCTGCTGGCCCCAGAAAACATATTTTAAAGTCGAGAAGAATTTAAAACAAATGTGTAGCCTCTGATAAGCCAATATTCATTTTGAGCAGAACATTGAGATAAGAATAAAGAAAGCGAAACTCTATGCCTACTCCCAGGAGCAGAAATTAGGATATATGACTTTATATCTATACTGAGCATGTAAACTGCATGTAATTAAATAAAAAGTAGACAATAAATAATAGAAATGAAGAGTCACAGGATTAATAGAAAATTTAAGAGACCATTTAAGTGATTCTCCTACCTTCAGAGCACAATGAACCCACTTAGCATCACCAGCAGAAGCAAGTAATCGAATACAATCTCCGGTGGAAAATGCCTCCACCTGGCCCCAAAGGCACTTCAGTAAATTCCATCCAGAGATATTTGTTTTTCTTTTCTTTTGGCTCCAGCTGTAAGCTGTGGAGGCTCTCAGGCTTGAGAACTGATGGGCCTTGTAATTGCTTTCTTCACTCATGTAACCACAGCTGTAGTTTTCATTCATAAATTGAAAAACTAATCCTTTTCAAATTTTCATATTGGCCACTTGCTTTAAAACACCCAATGCCAGTGTGTCTGCTGAGAGAGGACTGTGAGAAGGAAACTTCTCTGACAATTGTTCTGACCACTGGGCTGGCTGTCATAAATCCTTGGTTTTCGTTCTTAGCAATCTTATGTTTTGTTATAGTTTCTTGGAAAAATCCCTTATTAATACCTTCATTTCTCTGAGAGGACACTAGCAGTATTTGTAAAGTACTTCTAGAGACTTAATGAATTGTGGAAAATTTATAAAAATCATAGTTCTATATTTTCAACACCCAAATAAAGTTGAAATATACTTTTGCTAAAGAGGCAGCCAAATAAGTTAGAGAATCTCAAGAAAGACAGAAAACACATATGTGTTTGGAGAACAAGCCTAGGCAGAACTTACTAAAGATTGTTTTATATATAGATTGGTTTATGTATACATAAAGGCTGGGGCCACATGGGAAGCCCAGGGTTGGATCCTGGACCAACCTGAGCAGGCTGAGGCTAGTCATGCATTCCTGTGATCCTAGGTAAATCAGAGATTGGGACAAAAGTTTGCAATAGTAAGAACCTATTAAAAGTACTGATCTTCTGTTCTCATTCCCTGTCATTCTGTCTTTCCAAAAAAATAAAAACAAACAAAAATATGTAGAGACAAACAAAAAAGCCATTGGTACATGTGTATATTTAAAGTGATTTTCAAAGTATAAAAGATATTCCATATGTTTGTCTTGTTTTCCCATTATATAATTTGTCATTTTGCATTTTGATGTCAAAGTAAAAAAGTGTTTGTAAAAGAAGTATTTTTCTTTTTTTAAAACTTAGAGTAATAAGCACATACCTCCCCCTCTCAGTTTTTATTCTATGTCGTTTTTTTTTTCCCCACCCCTTCATGGCTGGGGACAATCGATAACATTTTTCTAAGTGTAAAATATTAATGTAAATTAATTTACTTTCAGTTGTTCTTTATTAATTGGTGTAGATAACAGTAGTCTGAGAATTACTAATTTTAAACTTACTTGACACAATAATGACAATTTTTTTTTGAGAGGTTTTTGCCATAGGACACATGCACTCACCAGACAGACAGAGAAACAGAAAGAAAGCAAGAAATCACCCCCCAGGGGGGATGGCCATGTCGCATCCCTTCTCCTCCATTCTCCTCTCAGGATCTTGGGCACGCATGCACACGTGCCCAGCGTGAGTTTTAAGTCACCGGGTCCGGGACGTGAACCATTGCCAACTATGTGGGAGTCCAGCGACATAGCCATTACGCTAACTGCTGGTCCCAATAATGACAATATTAATGTAGGTAGAACAGTGGTGTCTATCTAGGGTTATTGGTGAAAGATGGGGTGACTCCTAAATGCTCCTGAAGAAAATTATATCCTGGGGCCAGCAGATGGCGAAATAGTTAAGTTGCTGGACTCCCATGTAATAAACCGCAGTTTGCGTCCCAAACCCAGTGGCTTAAAACTCATGCAGGATGCATTTTCATGTGTGCCCAAGATCCCGAGAGGAGAAGGGTGGAGAAAGGATTGCTGTGTGACCATCTCTCCTGGGGGGTGATTTCTTGCCTTTTGTCTCTGTCTCTCTCTGTCTTTCCAGTGAGCGCATATACCCTACAGCAAAAATCTCTCTAAAATATATATATATATATAAAATAAATCCATATCCTACTCTTCTATTTACAATAACTAGAAAAATATTGGATATAAGAAATATCTATGCTACAAAATCTTGGATATTTGAGGGCTTTTTTACATAACGAAAACTGTGAGCAATCAAGAGATTAACAACAAATAATGACAAACATGTAGAGAAACTGGAACCTTCATGTACTGCTGGTACGAATGTAAAATGACATATCCTCTTTAAAAAAGTCTTGTAATACCTCAAAAAGTTGAGCAGAAAGTTACCACAAAAGCCACCAATTCCACTCAGACTTAAACTCAAAGAAGTAAAATACATGGCTATACAAAAACATGAATTTTTGTGTTTTTTGGGGGGAAGAGGTTTTTTTTGTTTGTTTTTTTTGTTTTGTTTTGTTTTTTGTTTTTTGTTTTTTTTGCTATAGGGCGAACAGAGAGAGACAGAGAGACAGAAAGCGAGAAATCACCCTCCCAGGGTGGATGGCCACGCCACAACCCCTGCTCCTCTATACTCTTCTACGGATCTTGGGCACATACACACACGCATCTGGCATGAGTTTAAGCCACCAGGTCTGGGACTCAAACCGCAGTCAACTACATGAGAATCCAACGACATAGTTGCTGATCCCCAAAACATAAATGCTAACAGCAGAATTATTCATAATGCCCCAAAAGAAATTTCCCAAATGTCCAAACATCTATCAACTGATGAACAGACATACAATTATGGTATATCCATACACCGGAATAGCATTCACCCATTAAAAAAAAAAAAAGAATGAAATACTGAGAGATACTGTAACATTGATAACTTTAGCAATATTACATTAAGCGTAAAAGTCAGATACAGAAATACCACATATTATAGGAGTCTATGTATGTGAAATATTAAGAATAGACAAATCTATTGAGATAGAAGTTACATTAGTGGTTTCTATGGATTGGGGAACAAGAGGATGGGGAGTGACTCTTGCAAGATATGAGGTTTCTGTGGTGAAAATTTTGAGGAATTAGATAGCTGTGATGGTTGCATAAGTCTGTGAATATATTAAAAACACTGTGCTGTATACTTTAACATAGTGAATTGTATGTTATGTGAACTGTATCACAATACTCAAGTACACTTTTAAGAAGAAAATGGAAAACATAAATTGTAAATGTAGGATTCAGGTAAAGAAAGTGTTTCCCAGTTTCCTCTTTCTCAAACAAAATTTGTGATAACTTCAATTACCAGTTCCTCCAAAAGCATACTTCATATTAACTTTGCTATTCTCATGCAAGAGGTAAAATTGTATTTCTTATTTTAATAAATCAAGAAGAACAGAACTACTGTTCCTACGGATGAATTTTCCTTCTCTTCTAATTTGTACTGATCTGGTCCAAGAGCACTCCTGAGGCTATACGCCTTCTAAAACAACAAAAGCTTATTTGTAACTGTTTATAAAATGCTTTTTCAAAAGCCAACCATCTCTTCAAAATAATGTTCTTGAGTTTCATAAATGTCAGTGGACAATTAGATAGTCTCATTCAGAAAGCTTTAAGCAAACATCCAAACTCTCTCTCTTTCTTTCTTTTTCTTTTTCTTTTCCTTTCTCTCTTTCTTTCCTTCCTTCCTTTCTTCCTTCCTTTCTTCCTTCCTCTCTCTCTCTCTCTCTCTCTCCCTCCCTCCCTCCCTCCTTTCCTTCTTTCTTTCCTTCTTTCTTTCTTTTTATTTTAATGCAACATTGAACTGAATTGAACTGAACTAGAATTCCACATATCTCAAAGCAAAAGAAGACTGGATAGGCTGAGTGAGAGATACATTTTTCCATATACTTTCCTTCATAGAAATTGAATTTATTATTAGTTCCGAAAAGACTAATGTCCCTCATTCAGCGATCTTAGCCATCTTTTAACTAAGATGTATGTGGAATGAATTCCTTGGAATCCTTCTATGAGGAGGCAGCCACAGTCTGAAACATCACTTACCCCTTCCAGAGCAAGGCAGGTCAGCACTTCCCTGGCACTTTCTGATGCTCTCCTCTGCCGACAGCGGACAGGAATGAGGGAGCTCACATTTTTTCCCGTGCCAGCCTACTTTGCAGTCACACCTTCCACAATTACACTGCCCGTGACCTGCAGAGTGAGAGTATTTGAAAAGACAAAACAGAAGATACACATATTTATATAAAGACAATGAAGTCGGAATTAGTTTCATTGTAATAGTAAATGTCATGAATGAATTAGGATCTTAATTAGCACAATATAAAACATTAAGGCAAAGGAACATTACTTTCAAATGTTTAAATAACTAATGTGTATTTTTTTTGCTTTTAAATTTATTTTATTTAGTAGTTAAATGTTTTATAAAAGTAGTGTTGATTTATTTATTTTTTTTTTCATTTCATTTTCTTCCATACATTCAATCACATTATTATTTGTCTTACAAAATGGATATTTCAACAGGTGAACATTTCTCCCTAGTACTGCTGATAAAACTACGAAATATCTCCAACAGATAATACCACACCTCTTTGTGTCATTAATGCTAATGTGTATTAATTGACCATAAGGCAGTAAAGAAAAGCAATAGCTATAGATAAGATGAACACTTTAGAGGGGTTATAAACTTAAATCTATCAAAATCCAGTTACATATGATTCTATTTATCTCATGGGACCTAAAAGGCGTATTTAATGGATCTGGCAAATAATTCACATGGAGAGAAGTCAGAGGAAGTAGAAAACAATTTATTTATTTAAAAAAAATATTTTATTTAACTTTATTTATTATCATCATTATTTTCCAGTTTGATCAGAGAGAGACAGAGAGAAAGGAGGTGAGAAAGCAAGCCACCAGGTCTGAGACTTGAACCGTGGTCGGCCATGTGGGAGTCTAGCCCCTCCAACCACCTTGCCACTTGCCAACCCCAGAAAACAATTTATTTTGAAAGCAGACTTTTTAAAACCAGTCAACCAATTTATTGAGATCCCACAATCATAGAAAAATGGAGGACCACAAACAGAAAGCAATAAAATCTGGAGGTTGATCTTTTGTTTTTCCTAATTTACTAAGGTATAGCTGACAGATGAAAAATAGTATATATTTAAGGTGTACAACATGATATTCTGATATACATATATTTTGTGAAATGATTACCATGATTAAGCTAATTTATACATCACAAAGTTATGTGCGTATGTGTGTGTATGTGTGTGTCTAACTAGGATCCTTAAGATCTATTCTCTTGATAAATTTCAAGCAAATAATACACTAATATTAACTATAGTTTTCACACTGTACATTAGGTCTCCGGTATTATTAATTTTATAATCTTTAAAATTTGTACCTTTGGGCCAAACCCTTTCATTTCTCCTACCCCCAAAGCCTGGCAACTACACTTCTGGTTTTTGTTTATATGAATCTGATGTTTTGAGATTCCACATGTAAGTGAGATTATGCAGTATTTGTCTTCCTGTGTCTGGCTTTTTTCATTTAGCACAATGTACTCCGTCTATGTAGAAAGTGCCAAAATTTCTTTTTTTCTCTTTTGAGCTGAATAATTGTTTTACATATGTGTGTGTGTAACAAATCTATATGATATATTTTTTCTATACATATATTTATTTTATATACATATGAAACAAATATATTTGCCAGAGTGCACATGCACTTACCTGAGAGAGACAAAAAGAGAGAAAGTAAGAAAGCACTCCCCATGGGGCACAGTCATGCCATAATCCCTTCTCCACTTCTTCCTCGTTTTGGGATTCTGCAAATGCATGTACATGTGCCAGCATGTTTCTCAAGTTACCAGGTCCAAGACTTGAGTTGTATGGTCAGCCATGTGTAAAGAGCTCACTGTTAAAGCTATCAGGACATGGCTTGGTCCATAGTTTGAAAATATTTTCTCTCATTTCATGTGTTGCCTTTCAATTTCATTGCTTGTTTCCTTTACTGTCACAGAAATATTTTAATTTCACATAGTCCCATTTGTTTATTTTTGCTTTTGTTCCCTGTCCTTCTGGTGTGACATTACCCTCTCAAAAAAAAGAAAGTATTGCCTAGACCAAAGCCATAGAATCTTTCTCCTTTGTTTTTTTTGAAGAGTTATTTGTTTGTTTGGTTTTAGTTTCAGATCTTATGTTTAAGTATTTAATTCACTTTTTATTTTATTTTTGTGTATGGTGTAATATAAGGAAGTAATTTCATTGTTTTTCATATGTAGCTATCTAGTTTCCCTAAAACCATTTATTGAAGAGACTATCCTTTCTCCATTGTGTACATTTGGTGCTTTTGTTGAAAATTAGTTGACCAAATATGAGTTGATTAATTTTGGAATTTTCTATTTTGTTCCCTGGCTCTGTGTGTCTGTTTTTATGCTAGTACCATACTACTGTGATTGGTCTTGTAATATAATTTTTTTGAGAGGTTTTTGCTATAGGGCATGTGCACTTGCCAGAAAGAGAGAGACAGAGAGACAGAAAGTGAGAAATCACCCCCCAGGGGGTACGGCCATGCCACAATCCCCTCTCCTCCATTCTCCTCCCAGGATCTTGGGCACGCACGCACACGTGCCTAGTCTGAATTTAAGCCACCGGGTCCAGGACTCGAACCGCGGTCAACTACATGGGAGTCCAGCGACATAGCCATTATGCTAACTGCTGGTCCCTTGTAATATCATTTGAAATCAGAAAATGTGGTGCTTCTAGCTTTGTTCATTTTGCTCAGGATTGCTATTGCTTTCCAGATCTTTTGGGTTCCATACAAATTTTATTTTATTTATTTAGGAGAGATTTTTGCTAGGGTGTGTGCACTCGCTAGAGAGACAGAGAGAGAGAAAACAAGAAATCACCCCCCCCAGGGGGGATGGTCATCTTGCAGTCCCTTCTCTATTCTCCTTTAAAAATTCCAGGCATGCATGTACACATGCCCAGCATGACTTTTAAGCTGCCAGATCCAGGACTCAAACCATGGTCAACTACATGGGAGTCCAGTATTATGCCATCTGCTATCCCATTTCACACAAATTTTAGAATTAAAAAAAAAAAGGTCTGTGGGACCAGCAGTTAGTGTAATGGCTAAGCTGCTGGACTCTCATGTAGTCGACCACGGTTCGGGTCCTGGACCTGGTGACTTAAAACTCATGCCAGGCGCGTGTGCGTACATGCCCAAAATCCCAAGAGGAGAATGGAGGAGAAGGGATTGCGGCATGGCCATCCTCCCTGGGGCGTGATTTCTCGCTTTCTGTCTGTCTGTCTCTCTCTGTCTGTCTGGCAAGCGCACGTGCCCTATAGCAAAAAACTCTCCAAAACAAAAGAAAAAGAAAAAAGAAAAAAAAAAGAATTAAAAAAAAAAAAGGTCTGTGAAAAAATGCCATGGATATTTTGATAGGAATTAGATTGAATCTGTTGATTATTTTGGCTACTGTAGACACTTTGACAAATTTGATTTTTTATTAGATCTATGAACATGGGATATCTCTCCATTTACCTGTGTCTTCAATCTCTTTCAGCAATGTTTTATAATTTTCAGTGTACAGATCTTTGACTTTATTAGCTAATTTTTATGCAAAGGTTTTTATAGCACTACTGCAAATGAGATTGTTTTCTTTTTGTAATTTTTATTTTTATAAAGCAAAAACTACAGATTTTTAACAGCAAATTTAACATTCTTTTGTCTATTAAATGTTTCTTCCTTTTACTTCCCCACCCACTCCCTACCACCTACTCCCCTTCCCTTCAGCCTCTGATATCTACGCCTACCCTCTGCACTATCATATCTTTGAACAATTTCCTTTTGAAAAGTCCATTGACGCAGAATTTCATTTTCTGAAGTTGCTACTTTAATTTTCTTCACTCTTTACCAAGCAATCCATTCTTAGTCTAAAGACTTTTACCTAAAATTAGTGAGCTGTGTGGAGTTCACAGTCCTTGAAAAGCATTCTACTACATACAAATAAATTCAATAAATATACTAAATAGTTTGCATATGGACACAGAGATGATAAAAATCTGTAATAAGTGATGGCAAGCTTTAGCAAAAAATGGCAAACATTATCAAACAAGTAATGGTTTCAAATCTTGGTTCTGCTACCTACAGATTGGGGCTGGTCAAGTGATAGCCTTTTAAAGATTCACTTTCTTTATTTTTAAACAGACACATTTACTTCCCACATTTATTGGGAAGTACATTATGCATCTTAAATGCTACATTAAAAAAATTTGTTATTTTTATTCATTTGAGCCCACAGATGTAACCAAGTAAAGGAAAGCATGATTTCAACTAAGCTTTCCTTAACTACCAATAAATATACAGATACTCATCATTAAGATGCTGAATAAGGTACATTTCTATAATTTCTGCAAAAAACCTATGAAGAATATTAATGGAACTGGAGTTATATCGATACTATTTAGAAGGTTGATCATATATAACAGATTAAAAATCCATACTACTTATCCTTTGGCATCTGATATTAACATGTATTATTTAATACGGGAATGGATGTTTAATAAAGGCCACTCCCTTTTTTCAATACTTATTTGTCCATCTTCTGAGTCTGTGGAAACTGGACAATCTATATTTGTGGTAACTTTTCACTACTTATAAAAATGGGTCTTGATGGAGCAAATCAGAAAATCAAAGTGTGGTGAAATATTAGGGATCACTGAATGCAAATCTATCATTTTACCCTGGGTTCAATTCAATAGCTATTTATTGAGCACCAATTATATAACTGAGACCATTCGACAAATTGTTACAATTAGTCTTCTGCCTCAAAACTCATCATTTTAAAAGAGAAGAAAATTGTGATTGTTAATAAGTATTATGATGTGAACATGGTTATTTAGATACCTAACATGGGGATTTTTCTTACTGTAGTTTATACTTATTAACAACTATATTTCATAGGTTTCTTGGTTCTTAGTCTTTTGCCATTCATTAATCACATTTTGGGATTTCCCTATCCTTTTTCAAATCCTTATGTAAGGGCAATCATTGCAAACAGGGCTACATTTCAAATGCATACTAAATAGCAGTTTCTAACACAAAAATATGCACCATTTAAAGTACAATGAGTTCTGTTGTTTTATAGGTGCCAAGAGCTTGGAAATTCTTGGAGACAAGAGGTT